GTGTCTCTCTCACGTCGATGGTTCTCTCTCTCTCTCTTCCCCCTCTCTCCCTCTTTCTTCCCCCTCTCTCCCTCCTGCTCTGTCTGAAGATAAATGCAAAAATGTCCTCAGGTGAGGATTTTAAAAAAATGCAGAATGGAATTTATCCATTTAAAAATAATCATTTTGGTGGGGGAGGGTGTGGGAACAGGTAAACCAAAGAACTTATATACATATATGCATAACCAATAGACATAGACAGTACTGTGAAGGGAGAGAGTGGAAGCAGGGAGGAGGGTGTCAATGGGGGAAAAAGGAGAAACATCTGTAACAAAAATTAATTTAAGAAAACACATTTTGTGCAAGCAACACTCTGTGGCAGATAATCAAAACTGTCTGACACAATCTGAGCTTGCTATAGCAACAAAGTCTAACCTATTGCAATGCTCTCTCTTCCATGAGGCAAGCCGTTATATAGACTTAGTGTAAAAACAACAACAACACATTTTTTTAACCCTGGCTGGTTTGGCTCAGCGTGTCGGCCCTTGGACCAAAGAGTCTTGAGTGAGATTTTGGTCAAGGGGTGCATACCTCGGTTGTGGTTCTTCCCCTGCCCTGGTTGGGATCAGGCCTGAGGCAACCAGTCAACATGTCTTAATCACGTCGATATTTCTCTCTCTCTCCCTCCTTCTCTATCTGAAGATAAATGGAAAAATGTCCTCAGGTGAGGATTAAAAAATAAAACACCAAGAATAAACTTATGGAAAGAACTTAATTATAAAGTAAATTACTTGTTAAATTTAGAAATATAAAAATCTTCATGTGGCTTTTATCACGAAGACAATTTAGGTGAAAATAACCAGACATTTTATTTTGTTCAGTTTGAAGTTTACTTATTTCAGAAGAGCAGCAAATATCTGTGCACTTAGTGTTGAAAAGCATTGTTGCACATCAGTGATGAAGTCAGAATTGATTTGGTATTGGAGAGGTCCAGAGTTAGTCCTGGTGTGGTTCTATCATGACTTCCTCTCTGATGGCTTTTAAATTAGATGACTAATGTCGTGGAGCGCATTAACATAGGCATATGTTCCTTCACTCACTTTTACTTTTATAATGGCAGGTAATTTTTGGGTTTTATTTGCCTGGTTTGTTTGTTTTAAATCCTCACCCTAGGATATTTTCCATTTATCTTCAGATACAGTTGGAGGGAGGGAGAGAGACACATCAATCGGTTGCCTCATGACCATGACCAGGGCTGGGGACCGAACTGCAACGAGATACTTGCACAACCTTGAATGGAATCGAACCCGAGATCTTTTGGTCCATGGGCTGATGTCCCAACCACTGAGCAATACTGGCCAGAGCTGTTTTTTTATTTTATTTAATCCTAACCCTAGGATATTTTTCCATTCGTCTTCAGATAGAGTGGGAGGGGGGGCATCGACTGGTTGTCTCCCACATAACCCTGACCAGGGCCGGGGACGAACAACAACCAAGGTATGTGCCCTTGACTGGAACTGAACCTGGGACTCATTCGTTCAAAGGCTGATGCTCTAATCGTTTAGCCAAATCGGCTAGGGCTGTTTTTTATTTTAAATATTTCTGGTGTGCATGGCACAGTACCACAGTAGATACTTAGTTGTAACAGAATGGACGGGGAAAATAAATGACTAATATCTAGAATTCTGAAAATCTCCCTTGCTACACTTATCCTGCTTGCTCTGAAAAATAAGCACTGGGGCTGTTCCAAGCTCCCCCCCCCCCAAAAAAAGAAACTTTATTATAGGTAGGCTCTTTTATTCTAGGACTTCAGCCCCAAAATCTAGTGTGGTGAGCCAGGCGAGACTGTCAAGTTACAGTTGCTCATGGCCCAGAAACGTGAAAAGCCCAAGGTGCACTTGGGGGGAAAGGAAGTAGCTGGGAACACTTAAGGAAAGTCGTCTAAACAAAGGAGATAACCCAAGATGAGAAGACCTTCTAGAACTCAGACCAGCTTTGTCCTGGGGTGGGTGCATCCTGACCACCCTTGCTTACTAAGCCCAGGGTCCCCTGTGCCAGTTTTCTTTTCAGTCCTCTTTTCCCAGATTGGTTCATTCAACAAATATTAAGTATTCTTCTATACCAGGCATATGCATGTAATGGATAAAACAAAACAAAATTCTTGTCCTTGTGGAGTTCACATTCTAGTCAGTTAATATATCTTTCCCCCTTCTATAACACCCCCTTCCCCCAGCATATACATTTGCTTTAACTCCTCAAAGCAAAATTTGACTCTTATCACAGTGGTATAATTTTGTTCTTGACCCACATAGTTGCTTTTCTTCTTTTGGTTGGTATGTGATGTAAATTTAAAGATAAAGTTGGGGAGCCTGGCAGGTGTGACTCAGTGGATTGAGTGTCGTTCCATGGACTGAGAGGTCCTGGTCAGGGCACATGCCCAGGTTGTGGGCTCGATTCCCAGTAGGGGACATGCAAGAGATGGCCGATTGAAGTTTCTCTCTCACATTGATGTTTCTCCCCCTTCCTCTCTCTAGAAAATCATTAAAATCACATTTATAAAAAAGAAAGTGGAGGGGAAAGCCTAGAATTCCTGCCAAAGGGTAGTATCGGTAGGCAACAGAAAATTTTAAGTTAAACGCAGTGAGGCAAAATATGTATGGTACTTTTACATTTTTGTTGAGAACAGATTGGAAATACAGTTAGAGGATAAAGATATGGGAGATAGCTGGAGGAGGGGCAGTAGACAGGTGCTTTGAGAATATCTGCTGTATGCAGAGCTCTTGTAGACATGGGATAATTGTTATCTAAAATCAGTAAAAGATGTGCTAGTGAAATAATTGGAATTTGCATGATAAAGTGGAAGGGTGGCTATTGGACTAGAAATCAGCCTAACCAGATTTTCTAATAAGTGCACTGAGGCTTTTACAATTCAGTCTTTAGGGAAAGTAGGGCTTGGGCTTCTTTTCAGAAGCTTTTATCAGTATTATTTAAAAGCCCCTGGGTCCATGTTGAAAATCACTGCACTGGATCAAAGGCATTTCCAACTGTGACATCTTAACCTTTTATGAAATGAATATAGCCTCTCCTGAGTAACTATAGCTGTGGAAATACATACAGATAGATGCAAAGGGAGTTTTTGGAGTGACTAATGTTAAGATATTAATTACAAAATCTATTAGCCGTTGTAGCGAAGATGGTAATGACATTTCTTTTGCTATTAATCTCTTTCATTCCTGTCTTATTTTCCTTCATTTTTAAAAGAGTATTAAACTTTTCTTCTACAGCGTTTTCTTAATAAATGTTGCTTAATAAGCAGCTTTGAATTTCTACATGTCTATAGGAAGTTTTCGTTGCTGTTTTTTGATACTGGAAAACTCTTTAGTATGTTAACCTATAGACTAAGCAGTGGGGCCTGGAAAACACCAAATGCTCATCAACACAATTTGTAGAGGCATTATTGTGATGAGGACTTCTTTGATATGGGGAATATTCCTTACAATTTCCCAAAGGATAATTTTGAGGACATTTTTTACTTATGTTTTCACTTTTGTTCCTTTATGTGATTAACAACTACGATACATAGTTCTACAGAGCTACTTTTTTTTTTTTAATCTTCACCTGAGAATATTTTTTCATTTATTTTCAGGTAGAGTGGGAGGGAGACCTATCTACTGGTTGCCTCTTTGCACAACCAGGCCAGGACAGGGGACAGAACTGCAACTGAAGCATGTGCCCTTGACCAGAATCGAACCCATGACTCTTTGATCCACAGACCAGCGCTCTAACTGCTGAGTCAAACAACCAGGGCTACAGAGCCACTTTTTTTTTCTTCCATTTTTGTTGTTGTTATTGTTCAGATAGAGTGGGAGGGAGAGAGAGAAACATCAACGTGAGGGGGACACATCGAGTGGTTGCCACTTACACGACCCAGTCAGGGCCAGGTACAAACTGCAACCAAGGTATGTGCCCTTAGCGGGAACCAAACCCTGATCTCTCTGGACCACGGGCCAATGCTCTAACCGCTGAGCCAAACGTGCCAAAGCCACTTTTTAAAAATATAGCCATAAAAATCTCAGAGTTAAAAAAATAGAAGCTACCTGATAGTTGAATTCTCTCCTGAGTATCCTAGAAAAATGGTTGTCTAAACTGTGTTTGAATCTCTCATTTATTTGGTAACTCAATAACTCCTGAGGAAGCTTATTTCATCTTTGGAAAGCTCTGATCATTCATTGGAAAGTGTTTTCTTACATTGAGAGAGTTAAAAATCTGACTCTTGGAGTCCCTTGGGGCCATAATAAAATCTGTTTCTATTTCATATTGAAAAATTCTTCACATCTTGATTCTTCTCGCTGATTACTTCTGTTCTCCGGCTTTTTGTATAGCTTGGTTTTGAGACATTTTGTCTGGTTTATTTATATTTATTTTGAAATGAGTTAGTAAGAATATATCTTTTGGAGGAGAAGGGGTTTGCTTTTAAAACCAGCCTTTAGTAAGATTTGTCACTTTGTTCCTACTATATACCCTGTAAGTTAATTTATCTCATTGCCATACTGCAACCCTAACTCTTGATAAGTAAATTTTAAAACTTGTTTTATTTTCTGCTCATACCTAGTTATTTATAAATTTGTCTTAGATATAACTATAGGACTTCATATTTCTTTTTGTCTGGTTTTATCAGTCTTTGTGAATCTTAATCCAGTGTTCACTATCCCTTTTAGTAAGAGATAGTGTACAGAATTGATGATTGTATCCTTTGCTATATACATATGCATGTGTTTCTAGGAGCTTTTATTCCAGCTTTGTTCAGATTCTGACAGGCTTTTCCTTGTCTGTTTGTAGATAGATTTGATGCTGCTTTTTCTGGCACCAAGTTTTAAAAGTTGTGAAATTTTGTAATTTGAAAGTTTATAAATGAACCATCTGTATGACTAACTATATATTCTGGAGAGTACTGTGGTAATTAATGAATTTTTGAAAAATGTATTTTCTGTTTAATATGTGCCCTTTTTTTTCCCTCATAGAGAATGGATCTTGGAGAATGTCTGAAAGTCCATGACCTGGCTTTAAGAGCGGATTATGAAATTGCATCCAAAGAACAAGATTTTTTCTTTGAACTTGATGTACGTGATTTTGCTTTAATGGGTTAGATTATCTTTCACAGTAAAACATTTTGAATATGGATCAATTTCTCTTTAATAGGAAAATACTCTGTGGTTATATGAAGGGTAGTACTAAACTTAAGTAAGATCATGTACTTCTTGATTAACATTTTTGGAGAATATAACGTGTAACTAGGTATTTTAATATCTAAAAGTAATGCAGTATATTATTTTGAAAAGCATATTTTTCTCATTTTTTAAATATATATTTTTTATTGATTAGAGAGAAACATCTATGTGAGAAACATTGATTGGCTGCCTCCTGCACGCCCCCTACTGCAGATCGAGTGGGCATGACGCTCAGTCCACTGAGCCACACCAGCTAGGCGAAAAGCATATTTTTCTCAATAAAGTATTAATGATTAAGAGCACATCAATTTATTTATTTTTTTAATCCTCATCCGAGGACATTTTTCCTTTTTTTTTTTTTTGGTACAGACAGAGTGGGAGGGAGAGAGAGGAAGAGAGAGAGGGAAACATCGAGTGGCTGCCACCCGCACAACCAACCAGGGCCGGGGACAAACTGCAACCGAGGTACATGCCAGCGGGAACGGAACCTGGGTCTCTCCGGACTGCAGGCGGACGCTCTAACCGCTGAGCCAAACCGGCCAGGGCTAGAGCACATCAATTTAAAGAGATATAAACAACCAGTTTTTAGTGCACGCAAGGCCTTTTAAAAATAATGTACTTAATTTTTACACTCATATTTTTGTTTCTGTAAATATACACATAGGAAGGATATTAAGGGCAGTGTTGTTTTTTATGTTAAACTAACAGAAGAAATATTAGAGAAAATATATTGTTTTTTAAAAGAATATTTTTATTGATTTCTTTAGAGAGAGCGAGATTGAAACATCGATGTCAGAGAGAAACATCGATTGACTGCCTCCTACATGCCCCCCACTGGGGATCAAGCCTTCAACTGGGGCATGTGCCTTGACTGGGAATCAAACTAGGACCTCTCAGTTTATGGGACAATGCTCAATCCACAGAGCCACACCAGCCGGGCAATCTTTTTTCTTTTTTAAAAATATGGAACACTTCATGAATTTGTGTGTCATCTTTGCACAGGGTCATGCTAATCTTCTCTGTATTGTTCCAGTTATAGTATATGGACTGTTAAAGTGAGCACTATTTTTTTAATACAAACATGAGAACTGTATTAAAATAAAAAACTATTTTTTATATTTACATAAAATACACAAGTCAACATTATATATAACATACTGGTGATCATAAATCTTTTTGTTGTTTTTAATCCTCACCCAAGGATAATTTTTCTATTGATTTTTTTTTTTTTAAGAGAGAGTAGAAGGGAGAAGGAAGGGGGGGTAGAAAGAAACATCGTCGTGTGAAAGAGACATCGATTGGTTGTCTTCCCCACAGGCCCTGACTTGGGCACTCAATTGAACCTGCTGTCCAGGTACCTGCACTTGATTGGGACTCTAACCCAAGACTACTTGGTGCATGGGCCGATGCTCTAATCTACTGGGCCACATGGGCCACGGCATGATGAGCATAAAGCATATGCTGCCTTTTTTTCCCCTTTTTTCCTTTATTGACTCTAGAGAGGGAGAGAAAGATAGAAACATCAATGAGAGAGAACATCGATCAGCTGCCTCCTGCATGCCCCCCACTGGGGATCTGGCCCACAACCTGGGCATGTGTCCTGATCGGGAACAAAACCGGTGCCCTCTTGGTGCATGGGTCGACGCTCATCCACTGAGCTACACTGGCCAGGCATATGCTGCTTTTTATCAGTGAAGTAATAGGTGTTTTATTTGGCTTGCGAGATAAAGAAGCAATCACCCCCCCACCCCCAATCTACTTCTGTGAATTTCCGTTAATGGAAATGAAAGCCATCTATGTAAGTGTAATTTAACATGGGATTGGAACAATTGGGGGAAAACACTTTAAGTTATTGGATTATGGTTTATATACACTGGGCATAAAATACAACAGAAATTTACTATTGTCTAGAGATGTAAGGTATGGGTATTTAGGTTATTTTTAGCCTTTTTAAATTCTAGTATGATAATGTATTTTTACATAAGTGTATAGGATACGTTTCTAGAAATAAATAGCTGAGTAAAAGAGTAATTTTGCCAAATTGCTCTCCATCAGAATTATCAATTTATACTCCCACCAGTAATATATGAGATTATATATTTTCCATATGGCCATATAGTGTGTTGTCAAGATTTCTTTGCAACTTTGGTAGATGAAATGTGGAATATAAGTGTAGTTTTAATTTGCATTTCTCTTCTATGTGAGTTTGAACATTTCATATATTTAAGATCTGTTTATAGTTCCTTTTCAATGAAACTATCAGTATACAATTATTTTTTGACTGTTATTTTTGGATGCTAACATTTTTCTAGTTGATTTGTACTAACTTTACATATTATGAAAGTTAGTCCCTTCCCTCAGATAATACTTTGCATCCCCCCCCACCCCCCCATTTTTCTTATGGTGGCTATGGGCCTTGCAGAATATTTTTATTGTTGTCTAATTTATTAATCTTAAAAATCTCTGTTGGATTAATTTGAAACGCTTTTCCTGTTCTGGGGTGATGATTTCTTTCCTATGGTTTATTCTGTTATTTTTATGGCTTCATTTTATACACATAAATCTTTGATCCAACTTCAATTTATTCTGGTCTAAGGAATTGCAGTATAGATCCAGCTTTCTTTTTCCAGATAGCTACTTATTTGACCCAGTATCTTTTTTGATTAGTCCATTTTTACTCTGTCAGTTCTTTGAGATGCCACTTTTATATCTTCCTATAAGGAAATTTTCATAGATTTCTGTTGTAATTTTAAAGATAAAATTTTAATTAAAAGAGTTTAGTAGCTTTTATTATTATCATTATCACAAATAAAAACCTCTAAATGAGCTTTTCTGCTTTTCATTTTCAAGAAATTCTTGGGTTAGCCAACCATTTCTAGAATTCAGTATGTGCTTAGTAAATTTGTATTTAAAAATTTTTTTTTCCCCATTAACTTTTTATATTTTAGAATGGAAGGGAGGGAGCCAGAGAGAGAGAAAGACATCAACGTTGAGAGAGATCGATTGGTTGCCTCCCACACAGCCTGGTCAGGTTAACCTACAACCCAGGCATGTGCACTTGACCAAAATTGAACCTGAGACCCTTCGGTCGTGGGCTGATTCTCTAACCATTGAACCAAACCAGCCAGGGCAAAAATTTATATTTTTAATTAAAACATGTTTTAAGTTTTTTATATATATATATTTTTTGGAATGGAAATATCAGCCCTAGCTGTCAGCTGAAAAGGGAAGGAAATGAAATTCTTGTTTTTTTTGTGTGTGTGTGTGTTTTTTAAGAGAGGAAGAGGGAGCAAGAGAGACATGGATTGTTGCCCCATGTGCCCCCCTCACGCACCCCAACTGGGGATCAAACCTACACCCTGGGTATATGTCCTGACCTGGAACTGCCTGAAACCTTTTGGTGTTCGGGATGATGCTTCAACCTACTGAGCCACTCAACCAGGGCCAAATTAGCTATATTTTTGTACAGTAAGATGAAAGTCCAAATTACTTTACTTGGGAATAAATCTTAAGTTTCTTTTAAATGGACTATTATTTAATAATAGACATATTAATATATGCCTGACAAATGTATCAATGAATTTTATATAAATATTGAATTGGATTTTTGCAATGAAGACACTGTTAAAATTCTTAATTGTTTATTTGAAGAAAGGGCAAGTGTTCCTGTAACTTTTTTTGTTACTGGAAATGTAACAAAATTTCCTGGGCATGTACCCTTGACCAGGAATGGAACTGGCAACCTCCTGGTTTGTGGGACAATGCCCAGCCAGCTGAGCCACACTGGCCAGGGCTTTCTTGTAACACTTACATTGTGAACATTTAGAAAAAGTATTAAGTACCCATATCTTCAGAAATAATTATTAACGTGTGTTCTTTCACTTTTTAGTCTTTATTTTATAAAGTTGGGATCTTACTACATATAATATTTTGTAACTCTTTATAACTGAATCATGAACATTTTCTTGTGCCCTACAATGTTTTATTAAAACCTTTATTTAGCCCTGGCCCGTTTGGCTCAGCAGTTAGAGCATTGGCCCGCCGACCGCAGAAACCTGGGTTTGGTTCCCGCTAAGGGCACTTACCTTGGTTGCAGTTTGTCCCTTGCCCCAGTTGGGGTCTTGTGGGTGGCAACCACTTGATGTGTCTTTCTCACATTGATGTTTTCCTCCCCCCCCACCACGCTCTATCTGAAGATAAATGCAAAAAAAAAAAAAATGTCCTTGGGTGCGGATTAAAAAAAAACCACCTTTCTTTAATGGCTAAAGATTAAAATTTTTACATGTTATTTGGATATTTAGGGTAATTACAACTTCTGGGACCTTTAAAAGTAACACTGAAGAGCATCTTTGAATATATATATATATATTTTTTTTTATCCTCACCCAAGGATATTTTTCCATTTTTTGTACAGATAGAGTGGGAGGGAGAGAGAGGAAGGGAGAGAGAGAGAGAAACATCGACGTGAAAGGGACACATCGAGTGGCTGCCACCCGCACGACCAACCAGGGCCGGCGACAAACTGCAACCGAAGTACGTGCCCTTAGTGGGAACCGAACCCGGGTCTCTCCGGACCGCAGGCCGACGCTCTAACCGCTGAGCCAAACCGGCCAGGGCTGAATATTAATTTTTGCATATATCTCTGATTAGTTTCTTAAAACTAGTTTCTGGAAGTAAAATTGTTCAATTGGGGGACATTTTTAAGGCATTTTATACCAATTACCGCATTGCCTTTTTATGAGGACTGCACTGGTTTGTGTTTCCTTTAGTGAGTATGAGAGTGGCAGTTTCCTTATAGTCTTACCTTTCTTGAGAATTATTTTCGTTTACTCTTTCCCAATTTGATAGTTGATGAATAGTATTTTTGATTTATAATTAAACCTGCTTTTACTATATTTTTACTTCCATAGAAGCATTTTTAAAAAGTGTAATTTTTGAGTAAAGATATTTCTGAAGAAAGTTGATTTTTCTGGCAATAATTGTCTTTTAATTAAACTTTGTAGGCTATGGATCATCTTCAGTCATTCATTGCAGATTGTGATAGAAGAACAGAAGTGGCTAAGAAAAGATTAGCAGAAACTCAAAAAGAGATTAGTGCTGAAGTGGCAGCAAAGGTAAGAATTTCAGTTTTTCCAGTAGTACAAAATATCGTTTCAACTTACTTTTACTTTTTTATTTTGAAAACTTACATTCACAAGAGCTTGCAAAGACACACAGGGAATTGTATGTGCTGTTCCTTTAGCTCCTCCTTATGTTAACATCTCTTACACAACTAGAGTATGGTATCGAAGCCAAGAAATTAATATTGGTCCAGTCCTTGCATTTTATTCAGATTTCACCATATATGTGCACTTATGTGTGCGCCCATGTGTGTATGTGTGTAGCTCTGTAATTTTATCACATGTAACTTGGATAACTACTACCGTAATAACTGTAGCATCATCACAGGACTCCCTCATGTTATCTTTCTTATAGCTACACCCTCCTTTCCCCTAGCCCCTGGCAACCACTAATCTATTTTCTATCTTTATAATTACATTATTTCACCTAAATGACATAAATGGAATCATGCGGTATGTATCCTTTTTAAAAAAAATTTATTCCATCACTACTTATCCCCTCTATACCTTCTTCCACAACAACCCATCCTCCTCAACCCCCACAAGTATGTATCCTTCTAAGATTGGCTTTTTTTACTCAGTACAACTTGACATTCATACAAGTCGTTGTACCTGTAGGGCATTTCTTTTTATTTCTGACTCGTATTCCATGGTGTGAATATACCACAATTGAACCATTCATATACTGAAGGGAATATTGGGTTGTGTTGTTTATTGGCTAATACCAATAAAGCTGCATTTGTATACAGATTTTTGGGTGGACATAAGTTTTTATTTCTCTGGGATAAATACCCAAGAGTGCAGTTGCTAGGCCATTTTTGTTTTTAATCCTCACCCGAGGACATTTTTCCATTTTCTGTTCAGATAGAGTGGGAGGGAGAGAAAGGAAGAGAGAGAGAAAAACATCGACGTGAAAGGGACACATCTAGTGACTGCCACCCGCACAACCAACTAGGGCCGGGGACAAACTGCAACCGAGGTACATGCCCTTAGCGGGAACCGATCCTGGCTCTCTCCGGACCGCAGGCCGATGCTCTAACCACTCAGAAAAACCGGCCAGGGCTAGGCCATTTTTGTTTTTGAAATCAAAGTGCCAGACTTTTTCCTAGAGTGGCTGAACCATTTTATGTTCCTACCAGCAATATGTTACACATTTGATGATGTCACTTTTATTTTATCTATTCTGAGAGGTGTGTTGTTTTATCTCTTTGTGGTTTCAATTCGCATTTCCCTAATGAGTGTAATGACTTTGAGCATTTTTTTCATATGGTTATTTGCCATCTGTACATCCTCTTTAGTGAAATATCTGTGTGTGTCTTAGGCTCATTTTCCAAATGGAATGTTCATTTTGTAAATGTTGTGTTTTGTCTGCTTTACTCACTACTTTTTTTATTTTTATTTCTTTATTGATTTTTAGAGAGAGAGGAAGGGAGAGGGAGAAAGAGATAGAAACATTGATGAGAGAGAACATGGATGGGCCGCCTCCTGCATGCCACCCAGTGGAGATTTGGCCTACAACTTGGGCATGTGTCCTGACCAGGAATTGAACCGGTTACCTCTTGGTGTGTGGGTTGACACTCAACCACTGAGCCACACTGGCTGAGCTACTCCTTTTTATACTGTAGTGCTTAGATACATACATACAAAAGGAAATGGGTGCCCTTATTTGAGAAAAGGTTACTTAACCCAACTTTTCCTGAAAAGTTCTCTGAAGGTGGGGATTATAAAAATGGGCATCCTAAAGTACAAGGGATCTACTGTCTCATGGTTGAAAGGAATCTACAAGTGCTGGCTAGACCTCAAACTATTGGTTATAAATCACTACAAAAATGCTGTTTAACAGACTATCTCAAAACTCAAGGACTGAAAACAGTAAGTGTTTATTTACCTCATGAGTCTACAGTCAGTGATTTAGGTTGTACTTGACTGGGCAGTTATTCCTGCCTCAGTTGGGCTCACTCCCGGGTCTTCCAGTCAGGTGCAGATTACTGAACTAATACCTCATGGTGGTAGTAGAGGTGCAAAAGCAGTCAATCTCAGTCATATAAGCACTTTTCAAGCCAGCCCTTGTATCATGTTTGCTACTGTCCTATTAACCAGAGCCGTTTATGTGGCCAAGTTCAGATTCAGAGTAAAATGATACTCAGTATAATAGCAAAGTGCATGGATACAGGGAAGAGTGAAGAGATTTGGGCATTAATGCAATCATTCCATGACAGATATTTAAAGAAAAATACCATTTTGTTACAGGTAATGATAATAGGGTTGGGAATTTCTTTGACGAGAAATATCTTAGATTGGGGGACATCTGAGAAGTAAAGATTATTGGCACACTAGTTTGTTGGGACTAGATATCCGTATCAAATTAGAACCTTCTTTGCTAATATAATTGGCCATACAGGATAATTACTTAATTGTGACCAAAATAAAGACCATTTATATGTATCAAGTGCCATTAAAAGAAAAGGAATGAGATTGATTCCCAGGATGGTGATAGTGGTGCTGCTGCTGCTGAGGCATATCAAATCCCAAGGCAAGAATTCCAGTAGAAAGACAGGATCTAAGGGAGAAGGGTTGACACACTAATATACTAAAAATCAATGTGCTGCGCAGTGTACGTACAAGGCACATTTTCTCATTTCTCACAGCTTTGTGAGACATTAATTTCTCCTCACATAAGGAAGTAGATTCAGGTGAAGTAATGTGGCCAGAATTGCACATCTGGTTAACTGGTTTGGCCATAACCCAGATCTCTAAAGCCATAGCTTTGCTTGAAAAAGTATTCAGCAATTTATTTCAACTCTTATTTGAGCTTATGCTGTTTGTTGGGCATTGGAAATACAAAGATGGGAAATGCAGATAGCAATCTGAGTGTATGGCTCTCCCTGCTTTTCTCTTTAAGTGGAGGTTAAATAGGATGATTGATTAAGAACGCTTTACAAAATAGAGTCAAATTGGATTTTGTTGACTGAATAGACATTCACAAGGGAGGTAAGGGATGACATCCCAGGAAGAGGGAACAGAGGCAGAAAGCAACATGGCAAGTTTGGGAAATAAAATATAACTATAGATTTTGTTTTTTAAATCCTCATCCAAGGATATTCTGTTTAGCTTCAGATGGAGTGGGAGGGTGGGGGTGGGGTGGGAGAAACATTGATGTGAGAGAGACCCATCTACTGGCTGGCTCCTGCATGGCCCCGACCAAGGCCGGGGACTGAGCCGCAGCTGACTGGAATCGAACCCGAGACTCTGGTCCATGGGCCGATGCTCAACCGCTGAGCTAAACAGGCCAGGGCAAGAAAAGGTATTTTATACTTGGAATACACTACCAAAGCAGAGTTTGGGAAGTAATAATTATATAGAGATCAGATGTATCCCTGATCTCACTGAAGTGAATGCAGGTAAGCTCAAAACTTCCTAATACTTCATCAATTCATTTATGATGTGCTCAGGAAGCATTCTTTATACTCATATTGCCTTAGATAACTTCAAGTATTTGCTGAGCATTTCTGAAATAATTTGAACTTGATACTTTATCTGCTTTTTTTTCATGATCTTTTCTGTTTCTTTCTAGGCGGAACGTGTTCATGAGTTAAATGAAGAAATTGGTAAATTGTTGGCTAAGGTGGAACAACTAGGAGCTGAAGGGAATGTGGAAGAATCCCAGAAAGTAATGGATGAAGTAGAGAAAGCACGAGCAAAGAAAAGAGAAGCAGAGGTAACTAAATTCTTAATTGTTGGTTTGTAGAGCCATAGTGTCTGTACTTTTTAAAGAACATATATTTGATGAAATTATTGGAAAGTTATTACTACTAAGAGGAAGTTACATAAGTTTAAAATATTTAATTAGTCCAGGCATATTAATGGGTTATGTATCAAAATTAGTGGATTTTAGAATTTAGAACCATTGATATGATGAAATGTATAACATAAAATTAATTAAGCTAGCTAGTCATACAACACACACACAGCATACCCTGTCCCCCGTTCTGCACCCATGCAACTATAGCATTCTCCCTTCTCTTCCCACCTCAGTACAGTCTGCTAGCACCTTGGGAGCCTCCTCTCTTCCTCTACAGCACAGGTTAAAATCTGATATCCTACAAATAGAGTTTATTTATTTATTTTTTTTATCCTCACCCGAGGACATTTTTCCATTTTTTATTCAGGTAGAATGGGAGGGAGAGAGAGAGAGAGAGAGAAACATTGATGTGAAAGGGACACATCGAGTGGCTGCCACCCACACGACCGACCAGGGCCGGGGACAAACTGCAACCGAGGTATGTGCCCCTAGTGGGAACCGAACCCAGGACTCTCTGGTCCACGGGCCAACGCTCTAACCGCTGAGTCAAATTGGCCAGGGCTAGAGCTCTATTTTATTTGGCCAAAATTGTATTTTGTTTTTTAGAAAATTGAATACCTTCATATGGGATTATATTCTCCACTTTTGCAGTAGTCTCCATTGCTTCTAACTGAATCACACTTGGGTTTAATTTATTATTATGGCCTTAAGGCAGAAGCTTTTAGGTAATTGATTTTAGACCATTTAATGTTACAAGTTTCCTTTTTCGAAGCACAACTATAGCTGCATCCCACGGATTTTCCTGTTGTGTTTTCATTTTAATCCAATTCAAAGTATTTGCTAGTATTGCTTGTGATTTTTTCTTTGACCTGTGGTTTATTTAGGAGTATGTTTAGTTTTTATATTTTTGGTGTTTTTTCCATATTTTGTTCTGTTACTGACTTTAATTTTATTATGGTTAGAGAACATTTGTGTGATTTCAGTTCTTTTAAATATGTCATCTTAAATATGTTGACACAGTATAACGTCAATATTACGGCCTAATTCAGGCAAGGGGTGTCTGTTAAAGCCGAAAGTCCATTATATAATAAAATAGGTTTTTCTAACGCATATGTTAAAAAATTGACAGATTAGTTTACCTGTTTTTACTTAGTAGACATGTTTATGTAATTAAAATTAAGTATGTATGAAAAGTTTAATTTCACAGAAAAGTTTTTTGTATGTGTTACTTTAATTTTAAATTTATACTGAGCCTGGCCGATATGACTCAGTGGTTGAGTGTTGACCCATGCACCAAGAGGTCGCCAGTTCGATTCCTGGTCAGGGCACATGCCCAGGTTGTGGGCCAAATCCCCAGGGTCAGGGGCATGCAGAAGGTGGCCAGTTGTTCTTTCTCATCATTGTTTCCATCCCTCTCTCACTGTCTTTTCCTCTCTCTCTCAAATCAATAAAGAAAAAAAAATTAAATTTATACTGAATTAGGTCTAGTAAATTTGTGCGTTCACCAGTCACCACCGGTAAACGAATGTGATGGCTGGGGTGTGGCTCAGCGCATGTCAGAACATTGGAATATTGCAGGCAAGCATTATAACTGCTGCAGAAAGTCACGCCGTTCAACAACAGAACCAGTTACCACACAGTGCAGTATGATCACGTGCTAATCATTTGCTGAACATTGTAGATATGTAATATTTATGTCAGTGGAATTACCACAGTGTTTTTCCAACATATGGCCTATTCATTAAAATCTGTTTAACAGTGAATTTAAACACACACACACACACACACACACAAACCTGTTAGTTTAATTATAAGCAAATCTTGGTTAAGAGCATTTTAAAATAACAGGGTGTTAATTTTCACATATGACATACAGACTGGAAATTTTGTCCTTAAATCCAAATTCTGTTAAATGAAAGTTTCCAAAATTGAGGATTTACTGTGCTTGTTTTATGGTCCTGCATATGGTCTGTCTGGTGAATATTTCATCTGCACTTGAAAAAAAAGATATTCTACCTTGCTAAATGTCTGTAATTGTCAGTTGAGTCAAAATAGTTGATTGATTTGTTCAAGTTTTCTGTATCCAATTGATTTTCTGTCTACTTGTTTTATTTACTGACTAGTGTTGGAGTATCCCGACTATAATTGTGGATTTTGTGCTTTCCATGTTGTCAATTTTTTGTTTCGTGTATTTTGAAGCTGATGTTGGGTTAATATACATTTAGGATTATTATGTCTTTTTTATCAATTGAACTCTTTTATTATTCTTGTGTTTTAATCCTCTCTTAAGGATATTTTTCCATTTATCTTCAGATAGAGTGGGAGAGAGGGAAAGAGACAGAGAGAGAGAAAGAAACATCAGTGTGAGAGAGCCATATCGATTGGCTGCCTCCCACTAGACCCCAACTAGGGCCAGGGATGAACCACAACCGAAGTACGTGCCCTTGACCGGAATTGAACCTGTGACTCTTCAGTCCATGAGCTGAGGCTCTAACCGCTGAACAAAAACAGCCAGGGCAAACCCTTTATTTATTTATGTTTTGAAATGTTATTTCTTATTCCTGATAATACCCCTTATTCTGATATTTTCTTAGTCTGATATTAATAAAACCACTCTAGATTTTAAGTGAAAGTTATATACTGTGACCCTAGAGAAACCACTAGAGAAAAAAAGGTATAACTCATAGAAATAAAATGGAATCCTAAAAAATACTTAACCAAAAAGAAGACAGGAAGAAAGGAACAAACAGATTGGACATACAGAAAATACAGAGGACGGGAAATTTAAACCTGGTGTACCATTAATTACATTAACTGTAAATGGTCTAAACATTCCATTTAAAAGGTAGAGATTGTGAGACTGAATTTTTTTTAAAAGCAGAATTTGGTTATATTATATGCTAGTTCTAAGAAATCTACTTTAAATATAAAGACACAGATTAAAGGTAATAGTGTGGAAAAATATATATTGTGTAGCCATTCTTGATCATTTTAATGTCTAAATGTTTAGGATACCTTTAAATGTAATTTATCAATCCAGAAATTAAAGATTATGAATTTTAAAATGTGAAGTATTTTATAGTTAATTTCCCCAAATAAATTGGGTAATGAAGCCAGTGAGCATTTTTGCTTTCCTTTGTATACACTTGCTTAACAATGTGGGTGTTTTCTGAGATGTTTGTTAGGTGATTTCATTACTCTGTGAATATCATAGAGTACACTGAAACAAACCTAGATGGTAAAGCCTACTGCACATCTAGGCTATATAGTATAGCCTTTTGCTTTGTAGGGGAAGAAATAATTTTTCCTCATCCCTACTGGGTTTTTGGCTGAGATATCCTTGTAATAAAAGACAGATTAACCAGTGTTATGACGTGTCAACGAGACAACCAGAGATGCACAGCCAAATTGTAAATGAAAGGAGCGCTTTATTCACCAGCGGGCAGTGGGGGGCATAGTCTTCCCAAATCAACAGCCCCATTGTTCTTGCTCATCTGCTTTTAAAGACAGAAGCCACATTCCCTTTTTGTTCCCCCTCAGGCAGCCAGTACAATAGTAGGTGCAAAAGCGGTTATAACAGAAGTCAAAATAAGCATTAGTCACTGGGCTCATGATTTTCAGTTCCTGATACTCAGAAACTGCAAGATACATCCCGTTAAGTAGGGCAACCATAACCTTAGGCAAAGTTTCTTTACTTTTAGGGGTAATTAACCTATTACTGGAAAAATACTAAGGAAGGTCCACTGCCGAAAAAGATGGCGTTGCTTAGTCACCTTAGCCTAGGGTCTAGATAAGGATGGAATTGCCTAGTCCTCAGTCGCCTTAGCTAAGGGACCTAGATAAGAATGGGAGTCACTTAGATGCCTTAGCCAAGGGGTCCAGCTCACCAGCAAAAAACAAACAGAAGTTTAGTAGCATGTGTACCTCCTGTATACGTGGGAGAGTCCTAGGAAAACTGAGTAACTCAAAATGGCTGAAGCCACTCAGCTGAAGACAAATGAAGGTAGATGTTGGATTGGGGGGAGTCAGTTATGGGAGGTTACCAGGAAAAGCACAGTAAACAAGGGCAAGGTTGTTATGCAGATTTAAGTCCTCTTTTGCATTGAGTTCTAGATGTAAGGTTACTAAGGTCATCCTCCTCTTCCTGGTACACCCTTGTAAGTGGAGATTTCCCTCACAAATATGTCTTTACAAAAGCGTGACTTCTAATTGGTTTTTAGAGCTTTTCCCATGTCTGCTGTTTCTTAAAAGTATCCAGCCTAAAATAATCCTTATGTGAAATACACATATATTGGGGGCGACAAGTCTGTTCCCCTACAGCTCCTAGGCTACAAACCTGTACAGCATGTTACTGTACCGAATACTGTAGGAAATTGTAACACAGTGGTATTTGTGTAATGTGTTACACAATAGGAGTTTTTTTAGCTCCATTATAAGCTTATGGGACTACCACTATATATGTGGTCCATCACTGACCAAAACGTCATGCATTGTGTGACTGTTTTTGCAGTTTTCATAAAACCATATATATATATCTGAAGATTTATAGTTGACCCTTGAACAACGCAGTAAAAAAATCTGCTTATGCCCTGGCCTGTTTGGCTCAGCAGTTAGAGCATTGGCCTGCGGTCTGGAGAGACCCCGGTTTGGTTCCCGCTGGGGGCACGTACCTCGGTTGTATTTTGTACCTCAGTTTGTCCCCGGCCCCAGTTGGATCGTGCGGGTGGCAGCCTCTCGATGTGTCCCTTTCACGTCAATGGTTCTCTCTCTCTCTCTCTCTCTCTCTCTCTCTCTCTCTCTCTCTCTCTCTCTTCCTCTCTCTCCCTCCCACTCTGTCTGAACAAAATAATCTGCTTATAATTTTTTTTTTTTTTTTTTTAATCCTCACCCGAGGACATTTTTCCATTTTTTGTTCA